ACTATGGATTTAAGCACACTCATTTTATTTCATATGATTCATTCTTTAGTGGAGGGACTTATATCAATGTCATTCTCGTTTAAGTCAATTATGAATCCTCTCGTCAACAATATTCCTGGCAATTCACGTGTGAATAATAGAACTCGTTAACAACATTATCATGATGTTTCTCAGATTTGTCAAAAGCATAGAAGATCTATATGAGCGTTCGTACGAAGAATTTATCATAACCAATATTTTTCAATTTGTAGTAATGTGTCAATATTTTCAACATGTTTATGTTCGAAAAACAGATATTTAGAGCGTATATACTAAGAGCCATAGTAGTTCTTTTGGCGTTTTCTGTTTCTCAAAGTACCTTTTTATTGAGTTATAAATAATTTTTATCACCATTGTAAGTAAGCACGAATATCCTATCATCAAAGACAGTTGCACAAGTAGCTGTTCGTTTAGTTTATCAAAAATAATGAGACAACTTTCTTCCTTGAAACATCCGTCATTTGTTTGTGTTAGTGTGCTCTCTACTAATTATCAATTAAACCCAATTTTTCTGTCATTTTTACCAACATTTATATCACGCACATTCGATAATTCTATAACAAAAAGGAATGGAGAGTCATTATTTCTTCATTTCTCTCTTTTCATGCTGATGTTCTCTCGATAAAATAAAATAACAATTGTGATGAACTAGTGTACAAGGTCAAAACAAAGATGACACCATGGATTATTTCATTTCTTGGCTTTTTATCGCAACAATTGGCTATATATTTGGGAATCTTGCTGTTCATCGCTGGTATACTTGGTGGACTTCTGACGATCGTTGTTTTTCTTAGTCTACGCACTTTTCGCGAAAGTTCATGTGCATTCTATTTGATCATCATGTCAATTTTCAATATTGGAAATTTACTTGTCGGCCTACTTTCTCGCATACTGATTACTGGTTTTGGCATCGATTGGACACTGAGTTCTCCATTCTATTGTGCCTTCAGATGGTTTTGTCTCCACTCTGGTGTGTTGATCTCTTTCACAATGATTTCTTTTGCGACCATTGATCAATATTTGGCTACTTGTTCTCGTCCTGGTTTGCAACAATGGAGCAACATTAAACTTGCTCATCGTCTGTCCGTAACATCGATCATTCTTTGCGTTCTTCTTGGAATTCCTTATATGTTTTATTTCAATATAATTGAACAACCTACAACACATAAAATAGTTTGTACAAGTACAAATGCTTATTTTTTCCGTTATCATGTTTATGTTTATATAATATCTCTTGCCGGTGCTGTACCAGTAACTGTCACAGTTCTCTTTGGCTCTTTGGCGTATCGTAACGTCCAACAATTGGCTCATCGAACTTTACCATTGGTTCGTCGTGAATTAGACAAACAATTGACAACCATGGTTCTTGTCCAAGTTGTTCACAATTTCTTTGCAACAATTCCCTATACGATTGTTACTGCTATCGTTAATAGTCCTCTTCTTCCGAATGACCCAGTTATTAACGCACAAGTCCAATTTGCCAATATTATAACTATCTATTTGTATTATCTAAATTATGCAGTGAGTATTGTTTGCTGATCAGACGGTCTGAAAATGATTTTTTTCTTACGTATATTTAGAGCCCATTCTATATTTATCTCGGTGCATCCGAACGATTTCGTCATCAGCTAATTTATGTTCTATTCGAAATTCATCTTAAACGATGGCGACGACGAATAGCTAATGTTGATCAAATGGATCCACAATATTAATAGATATCAATGAATGCTTTTTATTTGATATGTCAGATATTTTCATATTGACTGTTAAAAAAAACATGTTTAAAGAGAAATCATCTTGAACTGGAAATGAACATATTAGCTAAAAACTTTCACTGATCCTGTTAGACTCTGCACTAGTGAAAGTCTTTCGATGACAACATATTAGGCTTCAAATTGAAGGATACAACTTTTTGAAAAGTCTTGCTGCCTAAAATATCATTATGTTTGCTCCCTAACACTATTTCAAATTTCATCTGATTCAATTAAAATCCAGTCAATACCGTCTTTTTTTTCTTTTCTTTGTTCAACATCTCGTCATCATTGTCGAGTAGAAATTGTATAATCGAGAAATAGAATCTTCATCGATAGTTATTTCGTTGTTAAATTGACAAAATTGTGGAAGAGAAAACGTGTGCAATTCTACTGAGATATTATTCGAATAAATTTGAAAGTTTTTTTCTGTGCTAGTAGTATACAATATTGGAGACTGGTGACAAATGAGAGAAGAATTTTGAAAAACGTTTAATTTATAGTTGTCCTTTCATTTGATTGTCCGAAAGAGTTCTGAATAGTCTAATGTACGATAGTTTCCAGACTTCACAGTGGCCCTTCTTGATTCTTATTTTTGTCCTAATTCATTAAATATATGTTCGTCATTACTAAGAATAAACAAATTCTAGTTGTGCATGTGAGATGCCGAAAATGCAAAGTAAAGCAGAATTTTTTTTTCTTTTAGAAAAATCTTCTTGGCTTTTTTTTGGTGACTTGTTTTTTTTTTGGTTTTTATAAAAAACGTTCATTTTCAATAATCAACGAATTTTTAATATTTTCGATTTGATTAAAATTTCAAAACTATTTATTTCAGATTCAGCATGAAAAATTGAATCTTAAAAAGCTATTCACGAGGCTATTCGGATATGACGCTATTACACAGAATGCTAAAAGGGTCGCAATTTCGGAGAATACAAAGGTGTGAGTGTGGATGCTAGTCTCTTGTTTTAATCAACACCCGTCTATATCAGGTATTCATTCTCGACTTTACGAGTATATGGATAAGAAAAACACTCGAATACTATATGTGAAAGTTCTAACACAAATACACACTCATAGGAAGGTTTATATTTAATTGCCTTGATTGCGTCTTATGTTGAAATGCATCCGTTGTTTTGTATTAATCTTCACAGTTAAGAAACTACTAAAGACACCATTTAGTGTAGATATACAAAAAAAGGATCATCAGATAAAGCTCAAAATCTATCATTCTGTGTAATGATTTTCAAGTTTGTATGTTAAGAAGGTTCATGTTTTGACTCACACCTTCTTGTAGTTAGTACTACTATGACAACCGATCAGACTTTGCTGATGGCTAGTTCCATAAACAGGTCTAAAACGAACTTTCTCTTGATCATTGTCTTCTGCTTGAAAATAGCAATACTCAATGAGAAGAAGAAGAGAGACCTCAAAAAATTATAAAATTGGTTGGTTTCTACATTGACCGATCCCCTGTTGTAAAAGGTCATCAGGCAATTCGTCGTGCTATAACATATAAACATGTACGGCATGTGACGAGAGAACATTATCGAGTGTCTTTGTCTAACAAGAAAAAAGAGTAAAATGGATTTATTGTCCTCTTTTTTGAATTATCTTTTGGATTTTCTAATTTTTAATCGGTATATAGTGCGGGTTGGAAGAGAGCGATCTAGATACAGTGATGAAGTTCGAAGTGAAATTACTCTCATCAAACGCTGACAATCGATCTGCACTGGTATATCTTCAGATGATCGAATTGTGTATGCCAGAGTAGCTTTTGGCCAATGGGCTCTAAATCGATCAATTAAGCGATTTTTTAATGAGACAAAAATCTTTTACAATACATGTACTTTTCTCTTTTGAATCTACGTTTTTCTTCAACCTATCAGTGGGAAAAATACTAATCCGTTCCGTTTCGTTTTTTTCTTACACATATAAAAACGTGTGTTTTCGATGACAAATCATTATTTCTCTTATGCGAAGCTTTAACAATGTAATCTGTCAAATGCGTTGACGCAATCTATACGACGATTCGGAGCAATAATAAGTGACGTATTAGTTAAAAAAGATCAAAAACAAGTTAGAAATATTTCTTTCAGAGCAGAACACATGATAGGGACGATTGAACTCAATAGGAGAACATGAAATGGCTGGGTTGATACTTATTGATATTCTACGAAAAGAATAATTCTGAAAAATTCCTTGTATTGTCTATGCTATGACTTAGAATTTGCTTGTCCAGTATGGTCTAAAATGACAGTTGATTACTTTTCGAAGGAGAAAAGATTTGTACACTACCAAGGAACATAACTATATGTTTTATTAAGGAATTATAAATATGATATATGATTGATGAACATCAAATCGAAATCAAGTATGTAAACGCATACATGTTAAATGAAACATTTTTCTTCATATCTGATAGCGAACCGGATCAATTTCAAAGTCAAACAATCCAATTGTTATTTTCACGAAAAGCTAAAAATGGTTTCGATCGTCATTTTAATATTGTTTTTTTCAATAGTCCAGAAGGTTATTTCGAGCTTTACATTATTATTTTCATCGATCTAGTTTGTTTTAAGTAGTATGAGATGAGGAAGAGATTGATTATCAAGTAATATATCGAGACTATCAAAATATTTTGTGTTCATTTCACGTTGAAGTTTTAGTGAACGAAGATTTGGAAAATATCGCACGAGTAACATGATGTTTTGCAATGAAGATATTTGAATATTGTCGAGAATTAAATGACGTATATTTGGATAAATAGTCAAATGCGTAGAAGATTTAGGCTTTTCGATTAATGTCAATATATGAATGTATTGTCGAATCATTGAAACAACTTCTATATTTCTAGTTGTAAGATGACAAAGTCGAGGAAAACTACCAGAACTAAACTCACGCTTGCATAAAACTGTGAGTGTATTGATTTTCGGGAAGCGTTGAGACAAATTTGAACATGGTTTGTCAACTGTAAGATCAAGAACATTGAGAAAAATACTCATCGTATCTTCATTGGCCAACATTGATTTTTCCAATTCTTTGAACGATCAAGGTATTGTATATGTTGTGGTCGAAATTAAAATTTAGTCCAATTTTAAATTTGCCTAGGCAAAGCTGAAATTTTAATTTTGTCCAGACGAAATTGAAATAGTGTTCCGATGAACAGGAGAATATATATAGAAGCATCCACACGTAATATCATTAAAAATGATGGAATCAGATTCAACAATCGTTCAAATGAATAATGATGAGAAAATTTATTATGAGAAAGTGGATGAATATATTAATTCATTAGATAAAAAGTTTCGTGAAAAATGTGTTATCAAACAACAAGTTTACGATGATATCCTGAAATGCTTACTATTACCAAAAGGTTCACCACCTGATGCATATTCATCAACATTTGTTTATTGGGTAAAACATAAATAAATTTATCTTAATTCAAATAGCTGTTATTAATATTGTTGCTTGTATTAAATCAAAAAAAAACAATTTGTGTTTATGAAACATTTTATAATGTTATAAATGAGGGGCACGCTACTGTCTCACATGGTGGTCGTGAAAAGACTTGTTTTGAATTAAATTTGCAATATTCGTGGATTCCTCGATTTTGTGTTGAAATATTCTTAAAACAATGTCTACCATGTCAAACAAGAAAACCACTTAAACAACATGTCGTCTCAAAACCTATTATTTCATTAGGAGTAATGCACGCCTCCTAATTGACTTAAGCGCTCCCTCCTCCCCTCTCAGAAATGATTTCCCACTTCGAATGGGCCTTTTGAGCTGAAAATTTCAGCGATGAGTGATCCTGGTGAGATACGCCCCTAGTAAAAATTCCAGTCTGATTGGCCGTACTAGACCGGAGTTTCAGCTGAATCATAGATCATTTTTGGTCTTCAGGAGAATCGATATAACTTCGCCATAATATAAGATATCGAGCTCGGGCTGGTCTCAAATTAAAGCTAATGTCAGTACGCAACTTTTATCCGAACAGAATTTTTAAATTCAATCTTATTGATTTTTTATGACCATTTTAGTGGCAGGGTGCAAAAATCAGCATAAAAAATGGTGATCCAACGACAGCAAATTCCACTTTTCTCATCACAGGAATCGACTTTAAAAAAACTAGCCGGATAAAAGTTTACTCTCACTGAGAACTTTGAAACAAAAAAATATTGGATATAGCTCGAGCCAAACAGGAGTTATTTCAATTTTTCTGTCTGGAAACCGTATTTTGAGAAAACGCTAAAGAAATTTTAGAACTGGATTTTTTCATTCAAATCCAAAAAAAATCCATACTATGGGCTATTTAATTTCAGTCTGAATTTATCAAATAAAAATAATACTTGATTTCAAACTGAAACGTGAGTCTAGGAGTGAGGGGGGGGAGTGACTGAGGGTGTGGGTGTTGGTCTGGGACCCACACCCACACCCACACCCATGGTGCGGGTGTGGGCGCGCGAGTGAGGGTGAGGGTGTGCTTGTGGCTTTGTGTACTATAGGCTTTAGTCCCTTGCACAAGGGACTAAGCGGGGACTAAGCTTTTTGTGGGGGGGACTAAGGGGGACTTTGCAGGACTAGGGGGGACTAAGGATTTTTAGTGGGACTACGTAGTATCAAACGAGAAAAGTTTGATTCGGAAGAAGTTGGTGCGGTTTTTTTGATTTTAGAATTCAGTTTGAAATAAAAAAGCCCATAGACTCAAAAAATCATATTACAATGGTATATTATTGATTCATTCCAGTGGACCGTTTTAAAGCACGTAAGAGTCGAAGGTAGCTAACGCCATCTGTCATGCTGGGTAATATAAATATGTTCTACTCAATGCTAATGCAAGTGGCAAGGCATTTTTTCAAAAACTGAAAACCTTTAAAAACCACGAAAATTTCTCGGAAAATATGGTGGCAGGTTCCAAGTTTCATGTAATAAGTCTTTGAAAATCTGATCATTTTCCAAAAAGCCACATATATTCTGAAAGAGGAAGCTTCGCTGCATCTTCCTATGATAAAAACCCAACTTCAATATTTCTTCGAAAAATTGGATTTTCTAAAAGGGGGGAGGGGGAGCCTCCTTAATCGACATGCGTACAAGTCCTGATAAAACATCACCTGATATTACTTATTCTTGGATTTTTAATTGCATCGATCACTTTAGTAAATTTTCATGGGCCTTTCCGTTACGAAATAAATCTGCTAATGAAGTTGCAACAAAATTACGTGATTTATTTTTTACTTTTGGATCACCACGAATACTTCATTGTGATAATGGCCGTGAATTTATTTCGAATGTTATTACAGAATTAAAAAATCTGTTTCCAGATCTAGTTTTTATTCGAAGAAGACCAAGGCATCCGCAAAGTCAAGGATACATCGAAAGAGCAAATGGAATTTTATGTGATGCTCTCGGTAAATGGATGTGCACTAATAATTCTACAAGTTGATCTTTTGCTCTAGCACCAGTTATTTGTGGTATTAACACAACAATGTCTTCTGTAACCAAAACAACAGCATATGAAGTGATGTTTGGACAACAACCTCGTTCCGATTCTGATTTTTGGAAGTTAATTCAACAGAACGATGTCGAAGATGAAGAAAACTTACCAACTCCAGTTGCTGAATTAAATGATGATTTAAATGATGATCAAGGTGATAGTTTAATTAATTTCGACAAAGATATTGATGCTGACCTAGTTGATCTTGTTAATAAATTATCTAATGATGCTGTTTCTTGTTCATTATCTAACACACCATCAACACCCAGATCGCTATCAATTACCGAAAAAACATAAAAAAACATGATTTGGTTCGCAAAATCGCGACAGATGATTATTTAACAACTGCTAATAAAAAGATGAAATTATATCAAGATAGTTTAAATCTTATTGCTAATATTTTTAATATAAATGATTGTGTTGGAATTGCAATTCATACGGTTGATAAAACAAATACCGATCCAAAACATTTACCATGTTTAATTATTGAAAAAAACGGAAAAAATAATGTTTCTTTGTATAAATTAATTTGTCAATATGGTATTTTACATAACACATTTGAAGCCTGGCAATTTATGAATTTAGAAGATGCTTGTTCCAATGAATTGAAACAAACTGGTGTTAGTACTTTAAAGCCAATCGCCATCATTGAAGATTCAAAACTTTATTCTCGTGGTTCTACAACTGGCCGAACTTGTCATTGTCAGGGCAACTGTGCAACAAAATCATGTCCATGTAAAAAAGAAAACGTTTTCTGCTCAATCAAATGTCATTCGAAGAGGGGGGGGGGGGTGTTCAAACATGCACTAAACTAATTTAGGACTCATATTGTGTGTATTAAATAAAGATTGTAAAATAAAAAAAACCTTTGTTTGTACTTTAAATGTTTCTTTCTTGACTACTTTCTATTCATCGGAACACTATTTTAATTTTGATTAAGAACATATCGCACGAAATTATAATTTCAATTTTGCCTCGACAAAATTAAAATTGGCTGAATTTTAATTTCGACCACAACATATACATATTATCTATTACAAGAAACATTCCTTAAAATGAAAAAAATAAAATGATTCATTCCTCTCTAAGTCTTTTCGACTTCTGATTGTGAATGGAGACATCGATGGAGTGATTCTCTTTGTTATTGTTCGTTTTCTCTTGTAGTGATGTGGTCGAATGAACGTAGTGTGTTTGTAAAAAAAGCGTTTCTTTCTGACTTTATGTGGTTGCAGCATTTCTGCTTGAAGTGGAACAATTTCTCTCTGATAGGGGATATGATCCAGCCCTCAACGATAACAGATGATAACAAGATTGATTTCAGTCGAGGGTTAAGAGAGTCCTGCCGACGAGCGTTACATGTTAGTACGATACGAAAAAACAAGTATATTATAAGCTTAGTGATACTATTTAAGAATACAAAAACTGACTTAACACTAACGATAAAAATCACCCTCTAAGGAAAATACAATTTCAAAACACTTACGATTGCTGTCTGTATTATTACAAATTTTGGGTGCTGACGACCAATATAACACTAATATACCAACTTTATTGTATACTACAAATAAAAGCAAGACGTCACTGATATGTACACCACTAATATAGGTTCTGTTTGTATGCCTTCATTCGTGTCCGTGAAATAACTGATGATCATATATTAATGAGGTGCGTTGTTTATTTCATATAATTATTATCGTCTTTTTGCTTGCTCTATCATTCATTAATGATATATTAATCAGATACCTCTTTTTTCCTTCATAAAAATATCATCGTCGTTTTGCTTCTTCTGTTAACCATCCTTCGAAAAGTTTGAAGCATGCAAACTAGTGTGAATCGAAGGCAGCAAAATTATGCACTATAACACACTTTTTACCTGGTTTTTCCCGTCACTGCAGAGTTTCAAAACAATATTACCATTTCACACAATACTATACCGCTGAATACCATAATCCTGGTTCAACCAAGTCGGGGTGTGGGTCACTGTATGTGTTAGTTTCCTCTGATCTGCACTGACAATCAAATGCCATACCGAAACTCACACCCGCACCCACTCACAACCACCCACCCACACCCACACCCACACCCACCCACACCCACACCCACCCACACCCACATCCACCCACCCATACCCACACCCACACCCACATCCTAACAATCAATTATCAGCGATCAATTTTCATTCGACCATATTTTGATCTACCAATTTTCAGTTTCTCACCTATGGATGCATCTTGAGAGAAGCAGCATATGTGATGATAGTGTGTATGTGTTGTGAGAGAAGAAGCAGTAGATGCATTTCGTTTGTTAGATTCTTGCTGCATTGGCTTTCATATAAAATGAAGATAGATAAACCATTGTGAATTTTCTTAGTGCTTTTTGCTCATTTTATTTTGTCAATTAAAAATCAGACTGAAGAACTTGGTAAGCAGGGAAACTATCTAGCAAAGAGCGATGTCTTACACATGATTTAAGACGTTTCTTAATTTTAAAACATGCGTAAAAAATTTCACTACTCTTTTCATACTTTGGCCTAACATCGACAGAAAAATAAACGGCGTGAAAAACAGTACGGGATTTTACTACAGTAGCACAGATAGCTGCTCATACCACCTATCTGGTACCTTGAAATTATTTTCAGTACCCCAGTATTCTGGATATCTGTGAAAAGCACAGATACTGTCGAGAGGCGAAGCGGATGATGCCGGAATTCGTCATTTCTCCCTTGAGTTTTCTTGTTTTTGACTAACATTTCTTGGTGCATACATTGTTAGAAAGACATTCTGTAACACAGATTTGTTTTACTGTCAAAACAATTTATGATCAAAATAAGATATTAGAAAAATTTCTTAACTGAAATAGTACTATTCTCCGAATGAGACATATGCGATTGTGAATATCTAAAGAAGTAAGTTAAATTCGAAATTTGTCACAGAGATGCGCCAATACGAATAGAACTTGTAATAGCCTGTCCTAATATACAACTCCATGTGCATGTATCAGCACGTAATGTCATGTACCCCAATACATTTATTACGATAACAGCATATATACCCTTGAAAAACCTAGAATTCTAAAATTCACATAATATCATATAATGACTTGTAATGTTGTGCAATCTTGAAAATGAGGGCGGCAACACAGACCCCTGCGAAAACATACACAGAGCATTGTAGTAGCTGATTACATGTGACTACATGTCATTACATGAGTTCTAGAATTCTAGTTTTTTCAGAAGTATATATGTTGTTATTGTAACACATGTCTTGGTATTAGAGATGTGCAAGATCAAGTCTTTTTGGTCGCGGTAGGGGTAGATTTTTTCTCTTGGCCCGATCCCAATCCCCGTGATGTTAGTTTTTCGGGTCTCGGTAATAGTTTCGATCAAGAGAAAACTATTCCAAAATTTATTCGTATCTAATCTAAAATATTTCCTCAATACTCGTTTTTCTTGATTTATTTAGTTGACAATTAGCACTTTTTGGATTATCTTTCTTGAATATGTTCTGATTCATATGATTTATAAGATAATTTATTTAAAACCATAGAATTTTTTATTATAAACTTGCGTTCCGGTACCGACATTTTTTCCTCGTGGTTCCTGCCCCAGCTTTGGTGGGCAGGGTGAGAATCGAGACTAGTCTCGCACATCTCTAATAGGAATACATGTCATTACAAGGCTTTACAAACCGTGACATGGCGGCACATGCGATGTTAGAGTGATTGTTTGTGCTGTGGGATGTCAGTCTTTTTTTGCATTACATTTTGTAATTGCATTCGCGCACCTCTCATTTTTCAGGACTAACAATGCATTCGACAACCAATCTTTTTATCGTACTTCTGCTAGTGATATCGATCGATGGTTTCGAATTGGAAAGCAACAACAAGGGTGTCTATGAGCAGTCGGTGTCCGGTCGTGGTCTGGCTGACTGCTTCGTATGGTATCATTTACAAGGTGATCCTGATGCACTGTTGGCCAGTACACCGAAACCACCTTGTCAGGTGCCAACATCGTTCCCTAAAACGTTGACTGGCGGTTGGGTAATGGATCCTGGCTGTGATGCTTCGAAACAGCCAAACACTTGCTCGTTACATGTTGGTGCTCACTGCTGCTATCGAAATGCCTTCAAGAGCACGGGACCAGGTGCGCAGGGATGTTATGACAAGCTCGGCCAATGGATTGCAGATCCATGGCTGGGTGCCGGTACGGTCGATAAGGAGACGCCATTGGGTGATTTGTTTCAACAAGTCAAGCACGGTCTTGCCGATGTCATTCCGTATTTTAGCTGCTGCTATACTCTATTGGCGCCGCAGCCGAGCACTTGTAATCTTTATTATGAGAAACGACCACCCGGACAATGCGTATAAAATCTGGTTATTTTAAACTATTCTTCAAAAAATAATATTACTTCCCCTTTTAAAAATAAATGAAGTGAAATTACTTACAGCTCGGATATACATCGAACTACAACCAAAATCAAAGAATCGACTAGAAGTGTTTTACTAATTCTGAAGTGTGTGTGACATCATAATGATCAGTAATCTCATAAATGGATGAGGCATGTTCAGATTTCCGAAAAAGAAAATTTTCGGAAATTTCCATCAGGTCGATAGTCACATAGCAGTGCAAATTAAAGGTTTCAGAAACATTGAAAATTTTAGGAATTTCAGAAATTCAAGTCATTTCGATAAGTACTGAACCACGAAAATTTCTGAAATTGCATAATTTTCGGAAGTACGGAATGATTTGAAGGACAAATGCTTGAAATTTCCGAAACTTCTGAAAATTTCTTTTTTGGAAGTCTGAATACGGCTGTATCCGTATGAAAAAACCTTTGAACGACGTTCACCATTAGCCAAAAAATTAGTCCATTTGATTGAATCGATGCAGATATATTTCATTTTTCCATTGCAGTGCTATTTATGGGGTACCCTGTAATATTTTCGATGATCCGACCTGATCGTAGTATTTGAATCTACGACTATGGCTATGTCTCAATGTATATGCCATTGTCGTTTACCACCGTGATTATACACGTTTTTGGCGAATGTGGAGAGGGGTGATTTTTATCTCGTAATCCACAGTAAATAGTACAAAAGTTTCTTTTTCAATAAAATATTATTTACTGTTCGTTTTGTTATTGAGACTGATCTAAATCAAAGAAAAGAAAGTTATTTTTATAATAGAACTCTTTATTAAGATGATTAGATGATCTAAATAGAAGGAAAAAAAACTATTCTTATAAAATAATGCTTATTCTTCAATGAGCTGATCAGATGATATTAATAAAAGAAAAAAA